GCCATTCTCCTGCCTCAGCTTCCTGAGTAGCTGGGATTATAGGCACACACCACCACACCTGGCTAAGTTTTGCATTTTTTTTTTTCTTTTTAAAGATGGGGTTTCACCATGTTGGTCAGACGGGTCTTGAACTCCCGACCTCAGGTGATCCACCCGCCTTGGCCTCCAAAGTGCTTGGATTACAGGCGTGAGCCACCACGCCTGGCCAATTTTTGTATTTTTAATAGAGATGAGGTTTTACCATATTGGCCAGGCTGGTCTTGAACTCCTGACCTCAGGTGATCTGCCCACCTCTGCCTCCCAAAGGGCTGGGATTACAGGCATAAGCTACCTCGTCCAGCCCATATTTTCTTTTCTTTTTGAGTCAGGGTCTTGCTCTGTTGCCCAGGCTGGAGTGCAGTGGCACAAAATGGCTCACTGCAGCTTCAACGTCCCAGGCTCAAGTGATCCTTCAACCTTGCCTCCCAAGTAGCTGGGACTATAGGTATATACCACCATGCCCAGCTATTTTGTGTTTTTCTTTTTTCTTTTTTGTAGAGATGGGGGCCTGCCATATTGCTCAGGCTCATATTTTCAATTGTCTCCTGGATGGCTTCATCTAGATAATTCTCCTAGTCTTTCAAATGCAGCAGTTAAAATGAGAACAAATAATCTTGTCCAGCTTCTCCTCCTAACTTCCCTATTAATATCTGTAAAAGAACACAAGCCACTAACATTGAAATAAGGTTTAAAACGGAATCATCTTTCACTCCTCCATCTCTCTCAAGCCCATATCTAATGACTTGACTATAGATTCAACATGCATTCACTGAATGCCTACTCTGTGCCTGATTCAGAGGATATAGTGTGGAAAAAATATAGCAAAGAGAGAAAAAGAGCAAGAGTGAGAGAAAGAGAGAAGAGAGAGATAAGGTCTTTCCCCTGGTGAGCTTATGGTCTAATGGGAGAAAAAGACACTTAGCAAACAATCTCACAAAGAAGTTTATGATCACAAATGTAAATAGTGCTTGAAAGACAGCTAGATGCTTCTCTGAGAACTTACTTTACAAGGAGGACAGAAAAATTATTCATTCACTTGATAAATATTTATTGACTACCTACCAGCCAAGCACTGCTGGATGTCAAGCCCACCCCTGCAGTGCCTCTCAAGGCTTCTCCAGCACAGTGTCGGTCCCTAGTCCCTGTCTTTCAAGCTTCCTTACAGACCCTCCTAACAGTCTCTCCACATTTCAACTCAGCCCAAATACTGCTATCAAATATTCCTGTAACACTTTCTTGTTTGGAAACGTTTGAAAACTCTCTGACAACAACTAATGTAGGATTATATTAGTTGCAGTAAAGAATTCAAGACCACGTCTGAGGCCTGGCCTCCCATCTTTTCTTCTGGTCTTACCTCCTAATCCCCTTTCATCTTTACCTGTCTTCTAGCCAAACAGGATTACTCTGTGTTCACAAACATGTCCCATGCTTTCTTACCCAAAGTCACTGGGAATCCCATGTAATCTGTTCATTGACAGCCTTCTTTCTTCTTTCGAAGTTCAGCTTAATGACTTAATAATTCAAATATTTGTGTCTTATTCTCCCTAATATCTTGCACTAATGGCAAGGACTGGGTTCTAATTATATTTACAGTAAGTCCACTCACCACTCCGCATACAACTTGCAAAGGAAACTTCTCATTACAGATGCTTAATAAGTATTTTCTTATTTTTGTCAGTAATAAGTGATGCATATTGCTGACAAATAATTGTTGTCAGAAATGTTTTTCTAGTTATTTCTCATGCATATATTACAATTTCTCTCTCCAACAGGATTGTAAATTTTTTTTTTTTGATTGAGTCTCGCTCTGTTGACCAGGTTGGAGTGCAGTGACATGATCTTAGCTCACTGCAACCTCCACCTCCTGGGCTCACACAATTCTCCTGTCTCAGCCTCTCAAGTGGATCAAGGGATCACAGGTGTCCACTACCAGGCCCGGCTAATTTTTAAATTTTTAGTAGTGACAGGGTTTCGCCATGTTGCCCAGGCTGGTCTCGAACTCGTGAGCTCAAGTGATCCACCTGCCTCGGCCTCCCAAAGTGTTGGGATTTTCAGGCGTGAGCCACCATACCCAGCCTGGATTGTAAAATCTTTAAAAGCAGAGAAAATGTTTTCTTCTTTTCTCTTTGTTTTCTCTGTAGTTCTTAGTACAGAACTATAAATAGAGGAGTAGAGGAGGAGCATAAATATTAGCTGAATGAACAAGTGACAAGATCGGCTTTTTAATAGGAAAATAAATATTAAATTAAAATCCATAGCTATATTCCTCAATTTAAGATTAATGCCATGTTTGGCTCTTAGGAAAAGAAAAACCTATAGCCAGTATAGGAACATTCATAAATTTCTTTTCTTTTCTTTCTTTCTTTTTTTGAGATGTAGTCTTGCTCTGTTGCCCAGGCTGGAGGGCAGGGGTGCAATCATGGTTCACTGCAACCTCTGCCTCCCAGGTTCAGGTGATTCTCCTGCCTCAGCCTCCTAAGCAGCTGAGATTACAGCTACACACCACCATGCCTGGCTAATTTTCGTATTTTTAGTAGAGATGGGGTTTCACCATGTTGACCAGACTTGTCTTGAACTCCTGACCTCAAGTGATCTGCTCAAAGTTAATCCCAACACTTTGGACTCCCAAAGTGTTGGGATTACACACATGAGCCACTACGCCTGGCCTCCCTATAATTTTTTAGCTGTATTTTGGCCTTTGTGTTTCCTAAGCAACTATTGCTGCTCTATAAGCGATCACTTTTTATCTGTTTATTTTATAACTGTACCTTGTTTAATTCCATCCTTAGTCCATTAAAAAAGTTATCTTAAGTTTTCCTGATAGATTATCATTATCTATAAAGAGAATTTTGTCTCTACTTTAAAATAGTTATATCATTTCTTTCTTTTTCTTATATTATTGCATTGGTTAGAACTTTCAAATCAGTATTTTTAAAATGGGAAGAATGGGTCTTCTGCATTAGTGGTTTTTTTTTAATTTTAATTTTCCTGCTAGTAATTATATTATCTATTGGTTTGAAATAAATACTTTTGAAAAGGATTTGTCTATTCTAAATCACAAGATCACATCTAATCTTTCATTTTTATATTAAAACTTTATTTGCACACTTATTAGATTGCTCTGTCAAACTGAGCTACAAAATTTAAGTGAAATGGAGATCTGGCAATTTAGTGATAGGATCAGTTACAGAGTGCCAAGCCAGATAACTTAAATCATGACTCATTTGGCCTATGTTTACTGACAAAATTATCAAGAGACCTGGTGAACCTACATTAGCCTTTGTGCTGTTTGGCATGAAATCTCTGGGATAAAGGTGACAAATATGAAAATGCTCATGAATTTGTCTATTCTTTCATTCATCATCTATTCATTCATTTGACAAATATTTATTAAGTACTGCTACGTGCCAAACACTAGTCCAGCATGAATAAATAAGACAAAGTCCCTATTCTTGTGGAGCTTTCTGTCTAAAGTGAGCAAACAAATAACAAGTTAACAAATAAGTGAATAAGATTTTTTTAAAAAAGATACTCACAGCCAGGCACAGTGGTTCACACCTGTAATTTCAGCACTTTGGGAGACCCAGACGGGTGGATTACCTGAGGTCAGGAGTTTGAGACCAGCCTGGCCAACATGGTGAAACTCTGTCTCTACTAAAAACACAAAAATTAGTTGAGTGTGGTGGTGGGTGCCTGTAATCCCAGCTACTTGGGAAGCTGAGGCAGGAGAATTGCTTGAACCCAGGAGGCAGAGGTTGCAGTGAGCCAAGATCATGGCATTGCATTTCAGCCTGGACAACAAGAGTGAAACTCCATCTTAAAAAAAAAAAAGCTACTAGAAAGATAATGAAATAAAATGATAATGTTAGAGAGTGACTTATGGAAATGGGATATTTCAGCCTAAGTGGTCAGAGAAGGCTTCTCCATGAAATGGTATTTAAACAGAGACCTAAGTGGCGAGAAGAAACCAGCTATGTAAAGATGACAGAGGCATTGCAGGCAGAGGAAATAGCAAATGCAGAGACACTAAGGTGAAAATGAGGTTGGCATTTTGCAAGAACAAAGAGAATGATGAGGAGCAGTGACTGGAAGGAGAACAATGAAATATAAGGGTGGAGTGGTAGGAAGACCACATGACAGTGAAGAATCTGGATTACATGTATGCATGAAAATCATTTTTAAGGATAGTAATACATTTGATAAGATGAAAGACATTTAGAAGATTTACAATGCAAATTATAAACATATAAAATTAACCGAATATCTTAAATAGGAAAAATGTCTAAATAAGACAAGTAAGCTCTTTATTACACCTCTCATATACTTATGTTTTGTTATTTTGAATGGCAGCAAAGATCTTGAAATGATAACATGCATGCATTCCTGGGGGCAAAATTGCTTATAGCAACAGATTGTGAGCCAAGACCTTTTTCAGCAGTTTAATCTATTAGAGAGATATGTTGTCCCAAACAATTAGTATGGGTTTTCCAAAGCTGAGGAATCACATCATCTATACTAGTTGCAACCTTCATGGTAACTCAAACAGAACCACAAGACTTAGTTCCTTTCTTTGTACTTTTATTGGAGAGAAGCAGCAAATGAAACACTTTTGGTGCCCAGTAATGCTATCCAAAAATAAAATGTGTAACTTGGGTGACTCAGGGTGGTCACCCTCCGTCTGTCTTGATTTAGAAGATGGAGCTATTTTTGGTTTGTCCTAACTGGTTGGTTGTTGTGGTCTCAGATCAGGCCCAGCACACTGGTCAAAGCGGTGCTTTGTCATGGCACAGAAGTTTGTACCCAAAAACCTGGCAACTTTCTGTCCCTTTGTGAAAGCAGAACATCGAATCCCAGTGTGGTTAGATTCTGCTGCGGCAGCCTCCAAAAGGCTGCTCATGGCTTTGTTACATTGGAGTTTTAAAATTTCACATAGTGATCACTTTTTGGAAAGAGCAACTCACCAGTGAGCTTTTCTGGGTTATGGCAGTTGTTGTGGTGATCAGACTCAGACAAAGGCAGGAGCAGGCTCCTCCACTCACACACAACTGGGACCTCATCCCTCCTTAGGCTGGCAAAGCACTGGGCACAGGACCTGGAATTAGAGTAACCCCTCAATGAATGTCACCTGCTTGATTTTGGATTTCACATTTATCTAACCCCCAAATGGATTCATCAGTGGTCTGCAGAGCTCCCCAACAGCAGTCCACAGAATTAGGCCTGTCCATTTTCACTGGTTTCCAGCAAAATGAGAAGAGACTGTATTTTAAATAATTGAGTAAACACTCACTCACACATGTGAGATGGTTAAAAGTGATCACTGGTCACTTCTTGTGAACTGCCTTGACTCTGATATTTTTGTTTTGCCTACCAGGTTTTTCTTAAAGTTGACACACTCTGTCTTTTAATAAAGAATGTTGTCAATATATGGTAGCAATTGTTGGTTTAAAATCCTTACATGGCAAAAGTAAGGGCAAAATATGCAAGGAAGCTTTTCTAGTTATCTCAATGCCAATCCCCCCAATTTTTTGAAATGTGACTGAGCCCAGCACGCTGAATCTGGAAACACCTAATCTAGATGGTTTCAGTCTCTAGTTTTCTGGCCTTTCTGGTCCCTATTGTAGTATACGGGATGGGTGAATGCTAACTCTGTAGTTTCTTTAGCAGTTTGCATCCTTTTTCTATGTAGTATCTTACAATTTAAAGCTGGAGACCTGAAAGAGACAGAAGGGGCGTGCTAAGGAAGCAAGAATAAATAATGGCTATTATTTATTTTATTATTCATTTTTTATTGTAGTTTATTTTTACTTGTTTATTTTTTGAGATGGAGTTTTGCACTGTTGCCACAGTTGGAGTTCAGTGGTATGAGTTCTGCTCTCTGCAACCTCCACTTCCCAAGTTTAAGCGATTCTCCTGCCTCAGCCTCCCAAGTAGCTGGGATTACAGGCATGCACCATCGTGCCCGGCTAATTTTTGTATTTTTAGTACAGACAGGGTTTCGCCACGTAGGCCAAGCTGGTCTCAAACTCCTGACTTCAGGAGATCTGCCCACCTCAGGCTCCCAAAGTGCTGGGATTACAGACATGAGCCTCTGTGCCCAGTCGGCTACTAGTATTAATATCACTAGCATTTATATTGGTATTACAGAGGGGTAGAAAATGAGGTCAAATAAAAGATACAGTAATGATAAATATAGAAGCAAGTTTTTCTAATAAATATATCAACTTGTGAGTGATTTGTTTTGTGATAATATGAACAAATTTTTAAAATTGCGTGCTTCTGTTCCTTCAACTTTTTCTGCCCTTAGTTTGCAAACGTAAGTGGCACTTTAGACATTCCTTTCAAAAAATATTTACTTCCATGGGGCAAATGTATATTTTCTATAATTAAATCAGTCTAAATCACTGTTTACATGATACAGATGGTAAATATGAATGTAAAATAACAAAGTGGCTATTTTTGTCTTAGCAGGACTTCCTGGCCACAGTATAGGACTCTGAGATGCAGGTCTCTAGTCAGCTAAGACACTGCTTTGCTATATCTCATTGAGAAATTGCTTAAGCCACCTCTGTTCCCTGTTTATGAATCTGAGGTAGTAAAATTTGTCACTAATGGTCCATCATCAGTGTGTTAATTAAAACAGATTATTAGAAACAATGGCCTTATATACTGGGAAGGCAGTTACCTGTGTAGTTAAAGGTTATATATCTACCAGATCATATCTATAATAAATAATAGCATAAGGAAGGGTGGGCCCGGTGGCTCACACCTGTAATCCTAGTACTTTGGGAGGCTGAGGCGGGAGGACTGCTTGAGCTCCTGAATTCAAGAAAGGCATAAGTAACATGCTGAGACCCTGTCTCTACAAAAAATACAAAACTTAGCCGAGCGTGGTGGCATGCATTTGTAGTCCCACCTACCTAGAAGGCTGAGATAGGAGGATCGCTTGAGCCTGGGAGCTGGAGGTTGCAGTGAGCCATGATCATGCTACAGCACTTCAGTTTGTGCAATAGAGACCACCCTGTTTCAAAAAAAAAAAAAAAAAAGTAAAAATAAAAAATACTAGCATAAGGAAAAACTAAAAATTTGGATTAACAGGTTTGTAATGCTATTAAGAACAGTTTTTATTTACCCTCCATTTATTATGTGCCAGGCATTGTTCTAAGTGCTTTATAAACATTGTATGATTGGCACTTTAGAATAAACTTGTAGGAAGGTACCATTACTACCTTCAACTTAAAGTTGAGGAAAATGGGGTTTTTTGAGGTAATTCTCCAAGAGAAACAAATGGCAGGCCGGAAATTCTCTTGGGATTCAGGCAATCCACCTGTTCCCATGGAGCAGAGTGACTCCCTCTGAATCTGTGTTGACCAGGCTGTTGAGTATGTACGTCCTCCTCCAACACCTAATAAGGCAATATTTTCCTTTTTCTTCCTCTAGTTCCTTATATAAAGAATGCTTAATTTCCCTTTGTCTTTTGTCATTTGACTTTCATTTCCTATTTTGGGTTTTCTGCTTCTCTCACACGGAACCTTCTGTTCTGCCCTGCTTCATTCCTCTTCTTGGTGGATTTGACCTAAGTTCCAGTTTTTGTGCCTTTTCCTCTGTGTTTCGGTTCCTTATGCAGTCTGCACAAAGTCAAATGAAGTTACCTTCTATGGCTGACATCCCTTTTTTGTTCACGGAAAGTATTCTAGTTTTCCTGTAGCATTCTCTTGATACATATATACTTATCTGAAGGGGGTTTTCTTTGGAGTCCCCTAGTTGGACTCCAAAAATAATTTTCTGATTTAAGTGCTGTAATGTATTAGAGTATTTTACCGAGAATGAAAAGCAGATATAAGAACAAGGTTAGTACCTGCCTGGGGTTTTTCTAAGAAGTGCAAAAGAATTTAAAATGAAAAAGTAAAACTCTTTATTCCAAACCACCAACAATATTTATCAGAGTTAACTACTATTAATATTTTCTTGTGTAGTTTTCCCGAATATTCTAGGCATATGCAGGACCTACTTTTTTTGTCATTAATGAGATTATGCCATGCATACTCATCTGTATCTTACCATTTTAAAAAACATTCATCTTGAAGATATTTCTATGTCATTGCACAGGGAACAGGCTTATCTGCTAAAGTTATTAAAAAACTAATAAGGATGGCCATAGTAGCTCACACCTGTAATCTCAGCATTTTGGGAGACTGAGGAAGGCAGATCAGTGGAGGTCAGGAGTTCAACACCAGCCTAGCCAACATGGTGAAACTCCACATCTACAAAAAAATACAAAAATTAGCCTGGCGTGGTGGCATATACCTGTAATTTCAGCTACACGGGAGGCTAAGGCAGGAGAACTGCTTGAACCCAGGAGGCAGAGGTTGCAGTGAGCTGAGATTGTGCCACTGTACTCCAGCCTGGGGGAACGTCTCAAAAAACAAAACAAAGCAAACACCTAAACGAGATAATTCTGTATCATGATTCAATACCAGATATGGGGTACATTCTGCTCTCAAAAAATATTAGTTTTCTTCCTTCCTTTCTTGAATAGAAGAGTCACCTGGATTTATATTGTGATTCTGGAGGAGTCTATCATCCAGGCATAGACATACATGTAGAAAGTCACAGAATCACAACAGACTTTCTGAGCGGATGGCTCTTACAGATTGCTTGGTTCAAGTGGCAGAGCCTGTACCAAAATCAAATCTTTGCTTTCAATTTGGGACTCCTTTAATTCTTTTTGTTTCTAATACAATTCTGACTTGTATTTATTATCTTAAAATTAAAGCATGGCATGTAATGGTGTTAAATGATGGTCATAAATCAGGTAGTATATACTGCGCAAAGGAGACAAATTTTTAATTTTCCTTTGGAGAGGAAGGTTTTAAAGTATCTATGTTGTTATGCAATGTTTGGTGTCCTTGTGTTTTACCTAGGAGGTCTGTACCTCAAAACCTTTAGAATCCTGGTGGAAGGAGTGGAGATCTAGCATTCAGGGTAGAAAAGAGGTGGGTAAACATCAAGAACCCAGGAGAATGCTCTAATACTGGAAAGGGAACAAACGTTGGGAACGACTTGGGGAGGATAAAAGGAATTATAGAACGAGTTTGGAATACCATGAAGTGTAAACAGGGATTTTTACATTGCATTTGTTCCAAAAGAAATTGGTTTATTTGCATATAAGACAGGCAGGGGGAAAATCTGAAAAGTGAGATTACTCAATTTGATCTAAAAAAATTAATAAATAACAGATTAAGCCAACATCGCAGTGATGTAGAATAAGCTCTTTTGTCCTGAGGAGTCTAGCTTGTTTTCCTCCTCCAAGGGAGCTAGCTGCCTAAGATGTGGTTAGGCAATCTATCACATGACCCAAAGTCACGCGCTCAGACTCCCATCTGAAAAATGGAAATTCTGAAAAACTCATGTTTGCATCATAATGATTTACTGAAGGCACAATACAGCAAAGCAAAAACAAAAAAGGTTTAAGGGCCAAATTTTGGCAATTCAAGTATTCTGTTATTTAAAAGCCATTCAAAGCATAGAACCATACAATTGGAAGGAATCTTAAAGGTCATGAAGCATCTTTGCTTTACAGATGAGGAAACAAACAGGGACCCAGAGGCTACTCTAGCTCTCACAACAAGTCAGACAGAGGAGCATGGGACTAGAATCCAGATCTCCCCAGTCAGTGCCTGGGTTGTGCTATGGAGCCTTCCCCTGTGGGGTATTTATTTCTAGTGGTCTAACGTTTACTCCATCCCACAGCAACACTCTCTTTCAAAAAATGACTTAATATTCATCTTTTCTCTCTTCTAATTGTATGAAATTGCACATCTAACACAAAGGAATCAAAATCATGTATCTTTACCTGGGAAAAGTGTTTAATGGACATCTAAATTATGTGAAAACACTTCCTTTAGAAGTGGGGAAATTATGGCAGTCCTTTAAATCTTTCTGATACAAGACTATAAGGGTGGCATTGAAACATTCGCATCACACACACACACACACACACACACACACACACACACGCCAAGCATATAGATAAAAACAGACCACGCCTATTGGGTATAAAATAGAGATTATAGGAGAAAGGATAAGAGCAGAGAGCCTTATTTGATTCATTTCAAAATGCTGCTGATTATAATTCACCTTTTGTAGTGATTTGCTAATCAGATTCACTCAACAAGAATTTACTGAGTGCTTTTTGCTTCCTAAGCACTAAGGATTCAAATATGAAGACATAATTTCCCACTCGAGGAGCTCACAGTCTAGAGGAAGCTATAAGTTAGTCAGGCACAAGCAGATTTGGTGGCATATGCTAAAAGTACAGTTAACTCGACAGTTGATTTTTAGAAAGCAAAAATTTTTTAAACATTGTACTTAGCAGTTCTTCAAATTTCCAGTTTCTAAACTGTTTAAGAGTATTTTGTTTCTATTCCATCCACAAAATGAATTTAACACTGAGAAACTAAGCTAGTCGAACACGGAATAATATTGGTTCTCCCCATAATTAGACGATGTAAATATATACAAGAGTCTTTAGCCAGTTAAATTGAAGTTAAAAGTATTAGTATGCGCTTTTGAATATTGATGGAATTGTGGAAGGCAGTGAGTCTGTTTTTCGCTATTAAGATCCTATGGCTATAGATTTGCATGCAAGTTAACTAGTTTCTTTATTGATTTAAGTGGTATTTTGTACATAGCATAGAATTTGAGAGCTTCTGGATGAAGAAAATACAAGGTTCAAACAACTGAAAATTATATTCTTATTGTATAGATTTGTCCAAAGTCAAAACAGTCTGTTAAATTTGGGAATAAAAAGTTATAAAGAAAAAATGTCAACATCTGTGATATATTCTCACTTACAAAAATTATTTCAAAATTTATGACGGTTCCATTCACAGGACACATCAGTTAGTACTTCATGGATCATTATTTATAATCTTATCAAGTTTGAGAAACACGTTTTTCTGTTAAAGAGCTAAAAATTAACAGTAGTTACGAAAAAATAAAAGAACTGGTTACATATATATATATATATATATATATATATATATATATTTTTTTTTTTCCCTTTTTTCTTTTTTTGAGGCGGCATTTCACTCTTGTTACCCAGGCTGGAGTGCAATGGCGCGATCTCGGCTCACCGCAACCTCCGCCTCCTGGGTTCAAGCAATTCTCCTGCCTCAGTCTCCTGAGTAGCTGGGATTATAGGCACGCGCCACCATGCCCAGCTAATTTTTAGTATTTTTAGTAGAGACGGGGTTTCACCATGTTGACCAGGATGATCTCGATCTCTTGACCTCGCGATCCACCTGCCTGGGCCTCCCAAAGTGCTGGGATTACAGGCTTGAGCCACCGTGCCCGGCCTACATATGTTTTTATAGCAACACTAAATGTAAATTTAGCTGTGAAGAAATATTTTTACTGAATCTTCATTTCATTTAATACATAGTAATTTATTTCAGATCAGAGTGAAAATGTTACCACGAACTCTGTTGGACTACCATAGCATTTTCTACTCTTGGATATCAAGCATTTATTAAAGACAATAGAAAGTCTAGCACAGTAATATAAGTGGACCGTCATTGGCAGGCACGTAGTTTGTTACTCTGAAAAATAATAAGTTTCCTGGCAAAGAGAAGTTAATACTTTACAAACATAAATCTTTCAAGATTTTGAATTTTAGGATGTCAGGAGACTTAGCTATCAATGTGTGAATAAACGTAGCCTTCTAAGCACAAAAGCATTAATGGCACACAATTTTATCTTCCTAGAGATTAGTTCTAAAGTGATTTAAAAAGTATTAGGTTGATGCAAAGATTATTTCAGTTTTTGTCATTACTTTCAATGGCAAAGAAATAATATAATAATATTTGCAATGTCAGAGAAATAATATATTTCTTTCCAATGCTTATTTAATAACTAGTGAACTATAGGTTAAACAACGTCCAACACTGAATGAGTCAGAAAAATTATACTTGATTTTTCCAAAATTATTAATGGAAAGTATATCAAATGAAAGGGGTTGACTTTTTCAAAGCTGTACAGTAAATTCTCATCATTTTTTAGGGAGATGATATGTGACCAACAACTGAAAATTCTGATTAGTTGTCTAAACTTTATAGCATTTAACTAAATGCAATGTCACTTACCAATAGAAGCCTGGTTGCAGGAAATAAATGCTATGGCAGATTACTTGAGGACATGATAGGCTGAATGCTACCTGTGGAAGGAAAAGGGTCATCAGAAAGCGTTCCATTTAGATTGTATTCAGAATTGGATTAATGGGAGGGCCAAGTAATCTAATCTAAAAGTACTAAAACACTACTGGAAATGCAATACTTGAATAAATTTTATTTACCAAAATTTCTCTTCGAAATTAAAGTAGGAAGGTGGCTGGGTGTGGTGGCTCATGCCTGTAATCCCAGAACTTTGGGAGGCTGAGGTGGGAGGATCACTTGAGGTCAGGAGTTCGAGACCAGCCTGGCCAACATGGTGAAACCCTGTCTCTACTAAACATACAACAATTAGCCAGGTGTGGTGGTGCATGCCTGTAATCCCAGCTACTCAGGAGGCTGAGGCAGGAGAATCACTTGAACCTGGGAGGTGGAGTGAACCAAGATCACGCCACTGCACTCCAGCCTGGGCAACAGAGTGACAATCCACCTCAGGAAAAAAAAAAAAAAAAAAAAAAGAAAGAAATTAAAGTAGGAATATATACTCCAGTGAACCATTTGGGGTGGGAGAGGGTGGGACGGGGTGAGGCATGAGAACCCAAATGAACATGCTCCAATAACCAGACAGCTGCTAAGCTGTGCCCTAAGGAGGACAAGTGCAATGAAGGACACTTTGTTTTGCTTACGGGGGCTAGTTCGTGGCAAGAATGAAATTGTTCAGGATACTAGAGAGCCTAACCTGCCACAGCCATCCTCCTGCTAGCCTCCCATGAAGTCTATGGGGTGGCAAATCCAAATGACCTAACCAGCCATTCACACGTCCTTGGTCCGCCTCTGAGATCACTACTGAGTCCTTATAGAATTGCCTTTACTTAACAACGCTTTGGGGGCTATAATGGTATGCTACAAGAAACAGTACAATGAAACACAATAGTTGATTGTAGGGATAAGGCTAAGAGCAAAAGATCTTTTTCATAAGATCCAGAGGAGGTCTTTTGGGAATCAATTTGAAGATCATCATACAACTTGCAACTGGGCATATTTTCCCCTTGGCTTTGGATGTTAGGAAGCTTGAGAGATAGACTTGCCATCCAATTTTTGAAACTGTGTAGGCTCAGAGTATGCATTTATTTTCCTCTTATCTCTAGCTTCCATTATCTTACCTATTCTTTTTCTTTCACCATCTCCAACTTTTTATTTCACTCTTCCACATGACAAGTATTTTTGGTTATTCTCTGTTCTTTGGTAGCACTAGTTGAAGCCCCTGGTTCCAGCATCCCTGGCCTTCCTCTTTCTTGGTTTATTCCTTCATTTTGATAGAATATCTCCCCATCCTCAACCTAATAGCTGCCTGAGAAAGGACAAAAAAAGAAGCAATTTTTTGGACACCTGGCATATTAAAAATTTTATTTATTCTACCCTCACTCTTGACAGTTTGGCTGGGCATACATAGAAAATTCTCTTTTCTGTGTGCATTGGGCAAGAAATTTGTTTCATTCTGTTCATAATTTAGCTGCTCTAATACCATAGTACTGGTCAAATTACTTAGCAACTTTAGAAAATCAGAGCAGACGTACAACTTTGAGCCATTATTTATCAAACCTTATTAGTATGTAATATATCTGATTAACACTCCATACAAGTAAACGTTTGCATTCTCACTTAATTTTTTTCAAGCATTTAGATACAGATTTCCTCTGGGTTGTTTCTATAATTTCCTTAATCTTTTCCCTTTGTTCTTTTACTTTTTATTTTTGCAGATAGGGTCTCACTCTGTCACCTAGGCTGGAGTGCAATGTTGCTATCATAGCTCACTGTAGCCTCGAATTGGGCTCAAATGATCCTCCAACCTCAGCCTTCCAAGTGGCTAGGACTACAGTCGCATGCCCACCATGCAAGCTTATTTATTTATTTATTTGAGATGAAATTTCTCACCACTGCCCAGGCTGGAGTGCAGTGGCGCCATCTCAGGTCACTGCAACCTCTGCCTTCCTGGTTCAAGCAATCCTCCCACCTTGGCCTCCCAAATAGCTGGGATTACAAGCACGTGTCGCCATTTCTTAATAGAGTACTTGACAGATTAACTAGCTTCCTAAAACATAATTGTAGCTCAACTTCTAAAAAAGGTGAAAGAAATTATATTCAACTGAACTAGATTTTTTACAAAGACTATCAAGAACATGGAAAGAGGTAATTAAATGATGGGTCCTCTTTACCAAGGTTTCAATAGAAGCAAATACAACCAAGAAACCATTTACAAAGAACTCACCCTCATAATCGCCTTAGAGACCAAAGTCACTGCCTGGCTTGCAAAAACAGTATCAAAATATACATGAAACTTCTCCCAACTTAGATTTCCATGCATCCTTGCTGGGAGCGGTGGCTCACACCTGTAATCCTAGCACTTTGGGAGACGGGGGTGGGTGGATCACCTGAGGTCAGGAGTTCAAGACCAGCCTGGCCATCAAGGTGAAACCTCATCTTAAAAAAAAAAAAAAAGATTTCCATGCATCCTTACTTTCTACCCTCTGTTTTATTCTACCCAGATGTATCAAAATCAACCAAGCCCATTTAAATTTGGAGAGGTAACGTAATTCCAGGCCCAGAAAACGGTGGAACAAATGTACTATACAACAGGACGATCTCTCTTGCCTTGAATAGAGCAATGTAATTGTGGCAGATGTCATTTGTCAATCAAAAAATACATGCCTGATTTTTTTCTAATATGGAAAGAGTGAAATGTATTTTTATCTGTGGTTTTAATAAAAATACCCTTCAGTGTTATGGTTGACAAATTAACTTTTAGAAGGATGAAAAATATCTTAAATGACAACTCAATATGGACAACTGCAACAATTACCTTTCCTTAATGAAGCCCATCTTCCAAAATCCATATTAAAATTTTCATTTTTCAGAGCTAGACAGGCTAACCTGTATATTTTGAATACCAATAAAATCTGATTTTGTTCATCCATGTATTCTTTAAATGCTCCCAAATTTTTAAAAATTTATTTAATAACATGCAACAATGAACAATAGCATTAAAAAGTTGAAAGGAAGAGAAAGTGTTTAAAGAATCATTTCATTGGGAATGACTATGTTCTGGATAGTCAAGGAAAATTAACTTGCAAAGAACAAATGCTCTGAGGCTCTTTGTGAAAAAAATGCTGAAGAGGGTGGTATCATGACACTCAAGACATCTATATAATGTCATAACAGAACAGTGTCCACTAGGTAAATATTATTCTAAGAATTATTTCTAAAATTGCAATCAAGTATATTTAATAAACAATATTTATTAAGAGCACATAGATCATGGAAGTATTTTGAAATAGGCAATCTCTGTGATGTGGGTTCACAAGTCTGAATGCAACCAAGTGAAGTTCCTGCAGTGACAGTGCTTCTGTTGTGGGGTAAGGTTAGAGTTCTAAAATGACAGCAAGAATAATGGTAGGAATGAGTCAAGAGGAAACAGTAAGAAAGGTTGGTCCTAAGGAGACAGCTGAGAGATGGAAATCTCATGGACTCACTGAGCTGTATCATCTGGGCTCAATCCCCTACAAAGAGGTCAATGGAGGGAACTGGAACAAAGAGTTATGTAAAATTTGCTGGTATGGGAGGAATGTGTTCAAAGACTTACATGAATAAAAAGAAAACTTGGAGTGTAAGTAGAAAGCTGGGAAGTTATTCTCAGAAAGGAAATCGCTGGGTAATTGTGCTATTGGGAAAGGGAATTCCGAGTTAGTTACTTATATTTAAACACCTGCACTAATTAACTGTGTTCTTCAGGTATGAATGGTGTGGGGTTTGACAAACATTCCAGGTGAGGGAGTAAAAAGACTGGCGGTTGTGAACCCTAAAGTGGAGAGGAGGGAGACAATGTGACATAATTTTAAGACCAAGATCTTTAGAAATCAGATAGGGTAGTGTGACGGTTAATTCTGTGTCAAACTTGACTGGATTATGGGGTGCCCAGATATTTTGGTCAAACATTATTCTGGGGTATCTTTGTAAGGGTGTTTTGGGATGAGATTAACATTTAAATTGATAGAATGAAGCAGAGTGCCTTCTATAATGTAGGTGGGCTTTATCCAATCATTTAAAGGCCTGAATAGACTAAAAAGGTTAGCCCTCCCCAGAGTAAGAGAATTCTTCCGACTGCCTTTGAACTGTGACAAGGGCTTCTTCCTGCCTTTGGACTTGAACTAGAACTACATCATCAGCTCTTCTAGGTCTCAAGCTTGCTTACTCACCCTGCAGATCTTGGGACTTGCCAGCCTCCACCATTGCATAAGTCAATTCCTTATAATAAATCATATCTATACACACACAGGCATGCCTCAGAGATACTGCAGGTTTGGTTCAAGACCACTGCAGTAAAATAAATATCACAATAAAGGACTCCACACAAATTTTTTGGTTTCTCAGTGCATACATGTTATGTTTACACTACACTATAATCTTAAGTGTGCAACAGCATTGTCTTTAAAATAAGTACATACTTTCACTTAAATATAATTTCTTGCTAAAAAAATGCTGACATAAAGTGAGCACACACTGTTGACAAAAATGGTACCAATTTGTAAGTAATGCATTATCTGCAAAGTGCAATAAAGTGAGACACAATAAAATGAGATATCCCTGCATATCCTATTGGTTTTGTTTCTCTGGTGAACCCTAATACAACCTGCTTTCAAATTATGGCTCTGTTTCTTAATAGCTGTGTGACCTTAACCAAGTTCCTTAATGTCTCTGAGCCTGTAAAATGGAAATAGTTCATTCAGCATAGCACTGTAACAAAGAGTGACTGAAATAATTTCACAAAGCATTGAGCACAGAGGCTGGCACAGAGTACTCAACAAGTGGACATTGCTATTATTATAGAAGGCTCTATTTTGAAAAAAAAAATCCAGATGAAATAGGGCCTAAATATGTATTCTTGGTGAGGAAGCTGATATTAAGGAATTGTCAAAGTTTATCTTAGCCAACAGCAAAAATGTCCTGTTTCTCCTTTCCTTCTGCTCTTTTTTCTTATCTCCATCAAAGTTACTTTCTGTGTTTCATCCCTAACATAACTCATTGTATGGGATATTTCAACTGTACCACTGTCTAAAATCCTAATTAAAATCTGGTTAAAAATCTTTCAAATGCAGATCACTACTTGCTTAATTAAGCACAGTGGATACAAAAATATGAGTCATCTTATTTAAAACTTTGCAGAGGCACCAGGTTATCAATGAAGATATTAATCACTGTAACATACTACACATTTATTTTAAATCTCTGATAACTTCTTATGCTGTCATTAGCCTTTCATAAAATTGACTGTGGCATCAATTCCAGTTTGCTGAGAATTCCTTAAAGCTTTACTATAAAGTCCTTCCTCTCTTTAACAATGGTAACATCTAAGAAAGAGAGTAAATAAAATCTCTTCATTTTCATTTTATATCCTTAAATCTTAGGGCATAGGCCATGAGGTATCACTGTGCGTAAATCACTTCTATTTCAAATGTAAACACCCTGTTTAGCAACCAGCACACAGAAGCAGCAGTGGTCTTGAAATTTCAATTTCAATGTTTTTTTTTTTAAAAGTAAAGACTAACTCTCCTGTGACAAAAACTTGACTGATAATGCCCGTGTGTGGATTGCATTCACAGCCTGGAGAGCTAGACAAACTTCCACCATCTTGAATCTAAAAGTATAGCATACTATTTCGATCCCAATAGAATTTTGAGTTTGGTTGTTGGTTTATTTCCTTTGTTTCTTCCTCATAAATGGTGGTGGTGGTGGGAGTTGGGGAGGGGTTAAGGTGGGTGTGGAAAAGAATTGTATCCTCTATGGTAGCAACAGAGGTCTGCAGTGCTAACCCTCTCAACTATTAAAAAACAAAACAAAACTCCCCCTTCTCCAAATGTGCAATCTTGTTCTGGAAACCCTCATTTATTCAATGAATCAAAGCACTAATTAAAAATTTAAAAACATGTAGCTCTTAGTAAATGATAGCACTGTTCTGGAAGTAAGAGATACAATGATAAAGACACTAGTCCATATAGCTTAGCCTAGTGGGAGAAATAAACATTTAAGCAAACAATCCCAACATAGTAACCAATAATTGAAAAAGACGTATGCTCAAAGCAAGCAGGTCCAACTGCGGGGAAGGGAAGGCTCTGCAGAAATGCTAACGGGCTGCCTGCAGGATGCTGGTGGCCCCCTCCAAGGTTAAGAATTTTTCAATTAAAAAAACTCAGTTTCTGGACTAAAAGCTTTCCTTTCTGAACATGAGAACTTGCATGCTTAGGTTCTTGCGCATTATATGCGCACAATAACACACAGGAAGAGAAATTCGCTGTTTAGAACTTGATTCAGCATCCTCATACCTGCTCAGTTTAAGACTCCATAAGCATCACATTGAGGAAAATACGTTTTTTCCCCTCAATGTGATGCTTATGGGGACATTAGGACAAACAGACCTTTGTTGATATATGAACAATAAAAAAAAAGTATGCATACCTCTGTATGTATTTGTTACAAATACCAGTATTAGACTGTAACGGCCAATCCTTTAAAACCAGTTTTAAGATGGATATGAAGCCCTAAAAAGCTTGCAGGTTCCACATTCACATCCGAAAAACTTCCAATTTACAAAGGCCAATGTGGTATTTTTGGAAAACAAATGAAAATGACACCAATTTCTGTCATTTATTCATGTCATAATCCGTAAAGTTACCTTTATTCCACAACTCCACCATTTTCCTACGGTCAGCTTTTTTTTTACGGTTATAGCCTTCAAAAACTTGAAACAGAAGATTTTAAGGATACAACCATTAGAAAACGTTCCCATACTACCATTTAGCATTCCCCATTTATCACTTTGTTGACTACCGTGTAATTTCCAACATAATCTAACGACGTCAAAGGCACTACCAACGCTGTTTCAGTCTACCTATGGAGGCAATGGCTGTGAAACACGCACCAACCACAGCAATGCGGCTCACTGCGACACGACGGATCCCTCCGCAAAGTCAAAACTGCAGTTCACTTTACGCGGACGGAGCTTCTTCCCAGGACCCCCACCCCCACCCGAGGACAGGGGCGTGCGGATTTCCCGAGGTGTCTGGCACTGCTTTCCTGAAAACGCAGCTCTCATCCGGTTCCTGGAAGATCACCCTGGTTCGCGCAGGGCCCGGGACCGGGTGCGCACCGGCTTCTCACCCGGTGACCTTCAAGGCCTCCGCGCCGGGCCTGACCCTAGAAAGGCCACCGCCCCTCACGGCGGGCACTGTCCCTCCCTCGGTCCCGTGGACTGCGGACCCGGTGGCCCCAACGGTCCAGGACCGCCCCTGCCCCACAGCCGCGGCGCTGGCACCACGGTCGGTGCCCGAGGGCCGCGCCCCGCTCTTGCTCGGATTTCAGCCCGCACCGCACCCCGGCCGCCAAGGAACCTTCCAGAACCCTGCCCCTCTGGCTTTCTCCCGAAAGCCCAGGGTCGCCGTCCAGGAGGGAACTTCGATTCATTTACTTAACGCCCACTGTGTCCAGGGCCGAGCGAGGGACGGGGTTTCCACGCGGAGAGAACCTCGGTTCCCGCCTCGGGAAACACCCGCGTTCCAGCACCTCTAGTCGCCCGCAGGCCCCCACCCCTCGTACCCGGCCCGGTCCTCGAGGAAGACCTACGGCGGGGCAGGAAGGGACGAGGAGGGACGAGGAGAGCCGCACTCCCTTGACTGCCTCGTCCCCTCCACCCGCCTTCACCTCACGGGACCCCAGGGAAGCCGCCGGAACTAAAATTAGCAGCGCGCCGCGCGCGCGCACGTGAGAGCGCGTCCGGGCGGGGCCGGGGAGCAAGGGGCGCGGTCCGGATGAGTCACCGGCCCCGCCCCACTCGCCAAGAACGCGCTGACGTCAGCCGCTTCCCCGAAGGGTGACGTAAGCGCGCCAAGGGGAGGCTGAGGCTGCTGATAGAATGTTCGGAGTTTCGATTCCTTAAAGGGACCAGGCTTGGGATCGTGAAAGATCTGGGGAGATGACTCCACTCACCCACCTGCAGACCATCTTGTACCCCTTTGTACTTAAGAGAGCTGACTGTTGAGATGGTGATGAAAACTGGAGAACAACTGAGGCTAGTTGGAGGCTCTTTGAAGTCCCAGAACCTCTTCCAGGAAGCCCTCCTTGGTTAACCAGATGGACATCTCAGTTCCTTTCTGAGCCTGAGCCAAGTGTCAGGAAGAATCTGCTATGGTCCTTGACTCCCTAGCCCTTCGCTTATAGCGTCTCAGCTGTCTGATGCCTCTGCTGGCAGAGAAAGGCTGTAGTTTATATATTTATTTACGAATCCATCAACTTGGACCGATTAGGCCCATTTATCACTGTTTCGACTGTGTGTAAGCTGTCATTAGTGGTGTGACCAGAAACCAGTTAATGTCTCTCGGTGGTAAAATCGTGGACTGGTCTCCAAAGCCTCCTACTATACTGATGTTGCCGATTGAAGTTTCCAGAGGGCAGGATCCCTGGCCAACACGTGATGGTAAACAACATCACGGCCTTGCAGGGAACTCCCAATATACCGAGGTTTGCTCTGTGCCAGGTGTTTTCATGATCCTCCTCCCCCGCATCGTTTAATCCTCTTCTCTGAGGTAGGTGCTGTCCTCCCCATTTTACTGATGAGGACAGAAATAGAGGAACACGATTCAGCATGTTTCCCTGGGTCACACAGCTAAGGAATGGCGAGCTGGAAGTCAGTCCCAGGTCGGACAGACTCCAAAGTCCCTGGTTTTGGTGATGAAGGTGGGCTGTGAAATGTGTGTCTTATTCTGTGCATGTGAGTCTCCTAGAACCAGCTTTTCCACTTTGAACACGATCTCAGTGCCTTTCAGCAGGTAACCCACGCCAGGCCAGATGTCCAGAGACGGAGGTGGCGGGCCTCAGGTCCCAGACACGGGAAGGTGAATGAGGAGGCATCGCCTCAGGTGCCCACAGTGCCTGACCGTGGGCGCCACCTTCAGCTTTACACCTCAGGCACCTCACTTGGCTCCCCTTCGTCCCAGTCCTGCCAGGCCCACCCTTGACTCTGTGTTTCCTTTCTGGAAACTCCAGAGGCCATTCTACTCAGCGACCAGATCTGCCCAAGTGCAGAAGAAACACTTTATATTTCCTCTATCATCATCCCCTCTCAAGCATAAAACAGAAAGTTTCCTATTGGAGCAGCACGCTTGTGCCAAAAACAAATTAGAAACAACAACAACTTCTCAAAAATTTAAGCAAAATGATGGTGACTGTGTCCTGGAAATGGAGCCAAGTAAGTGAGCCGCTGTCACTGTTCCCTTCTGACAGTCGCTATTGGTCCTTGGCTAAGTATTGCAGCCTCATCCTCGGGCTACACAAACCAGGTGTACCAGAAGCACCTTCTGCCTCCAGCTCACTCCTGGGAGACGTTTAAAGCTAACTCCTCTCCCTTCCCAGTCTCCAGCCACCAGCAAACTCTCCCTTGCTGTCCCCAGCTCCTGCCCCTCATGCTGATAGAAGCATTGCCCACTGCTCTTCTTGTTCTTACAGGTTTTCTAGTGCCTGTGGCCAAACACCTTGTGTGTGCTCCCCAGGAGAGAAAACCACTAATAGCCTTAGGTACTGTTGGGGGCAAGGGGTATTCTGTGGGAACAGGAGCTTCTTCCTCTGTACTGGGGCTGGATACACAGATGTAGAAACTGACAGCTATATGCTACCTTCAGGCCAACCAGGCAAGCCCCTGTTTTATAACCAAGGTCTAGGTGAGGTGGCCTGCCAGGGGTCCCATGGCCTGTTAGGAGCAGAGATTCTTAGTCACCTGACTTCCAGCCCGCTTCATTTCCATGGATCACACTCACCACTGTTCTAAGACACAGGTAGGACAAAGGGCATGAACTTGCATGGCAAACTGGAACATTGGTCATATTTACGATGGAAGGGAAGACAGATCATGACATGAAGTAAATATAGACATGAAATCCTAGGGAAGAATTGTAGAACACGATTTCTTTCTCTTTTTTTAAAAATTTATTTATTTGACTTTAGGTGCATACTATATCTGGCATTTCTCCCCGTGTTATCCCTCCCCACCCTCCCCTCCTTCCCAACCCCCTGCTGTCTCTTCCCTACCCCCCTCAACTGCCCCCAGTGTGTGATGCTCCTCTCCCTGAGTCCATGTGTGGAGAACACAATTTCTGATGACCGCTGCCTATTCCCACTTCCCCTTTCCTTCTGCCTCCCACCTTGTTTGAAAACAGGTAAGGAGTTGTTCGTCCTCAGACCTAAGAATCATTTCCCAGTGGAATGACACAGTAAAGTGGATTGCCATTTGTAAACCTTCAGTAATAAAGATCTTGTGTGTCATTTCAGTTTTAATTTTTTATCTTCCAGTCTTTACTCTCCATCATTCCTTTATCCCAGAAGCCCCATTAAATATCATTAAGAACCATAAATGTCACTGGCCACTAATGTGGAAGGATTGTGATCTCCGGCAAACAGCCCCAGCAAGCAAAAGAGCAGGAATCCTGGGTCAGCTTCCAACTGTGCCTGTGACTCACAGTGTGACACAAAGCAAAGCTCCACTTTCACGGAGGGAGAGCCGTGGAGCAGCGAGACACACATGGTCTGTGCCCTGACAGAGGCGGAGGGGTTTCCCTGCGTGCTGGAAGATCAGGGGTCCCTGGTGGAGTCCAATTCCATAGTAACTCCTTAGCAATGGCCATGAGCTCTGCCTCCGATGCAGACACTACCATGGCTTGGGCTGGATTATGGCACTTGCCCTTAGTGACATCATTCTCATAGGTTAGGAATGCACGCTGATTATTTCTAACTCCACTTTAATAACTTGTTCTGGATCTGCCCTCCAGGAATTTATTTGAAACTTTTCTTTATTCTATTTATATTTCAGCCTGTACAGCCTTTTCAGGCAATAAGTAGATTTACCATTTATGTAAAAACACTTGAGTTCTAAAACACAGGAAGTGTTGCATAATTATTTGTTTTAAGAATAATCAATAATTTGATAATTTGATATCTATAATGTTATACATAACAAATATTATCTGAAAGTTTGATGATAATAATTATTCATGCAGATGGCCTCACAGGCATCATATTTTCAGTCACTCACTGTCTTTGTGTTTATCTCCCGACCCACCTCTCTCCAACCCCAATGAAAAAGTATCTCCTGGCTGGGTGCAGCGGCTTGCGCCTGTAATCCCAGCACTTTGGGAGGCTGAAGCAGGAGGATTGCTTGAGCTCAGGAGTTTGAGAACAGCTTGGGCAACATAGCGAGACCTCATCTCAATTTTTAAAGAATTTTTTAAAAAAGTGTCATAGTGAAGATAAGGGGCGGGGGAAGCATTTATTAATGGAATGAGATGCTATAATGGGTGCACCTCTGCCCAGAAACTTACCTGAACAGATTCAACGTACTCTAAGGACTTGTTATCTAAGATCAATATAAGGCAGGTACTTGTCTGAGTCAATTTGGGCTGCTAAAACAGAATACCAAAGACTGGGTGGTGTAAACAACAGATATTTATTTCTTACAGTTCTGGAGCCTGGGGAGTTCAAGATCAAGGTGCTAGCAGATTAGTGTCTGGTAAGGACCGGCTCCCTGGGTTGCAGACAGCTGCCTTCTTGCTGTGTCCTCACGTGGCCTTTCCTTGGTATTGTGCCTGTGAAGAGAGAGAGCTCGCTTGTCTCTTCCTCCTCTTCTAAGGGCACTAATTCCACCATGAGGGAACCATCCTCATGACCTAATCTAAACCTAGTGATCTCCCAAAGGCCACACCTCCAAATGCCATTACACCTGGGGTTAGAGCTTCAACATACAATTTTGGAGGAGACACAAACATTCATCCCATTTATTCATTGCTCAATAAATACTGGATGTATGAATGGATGGAATAAAAAAAGATAAACCTATGTGGTAATTGGATAGAAAATACATAGACATAGAGTCAAGCACCGCATGATGCTTCAGTCAATAATGAACAGCATATACAACAGTAATCCCATAAGATATAATGGGCTGGAGCGGTGGCTCACCCCTATAATCCCAGCACACTTTGGGAGGCCCAGGCGGGCAGATCACTCAAGGTCAGGTGTTCAAGACCAGCCTGGCCAACATGGTGAAACCCTGTCTCTACTAAAAATACAAAAATCAGCTGGGTGCAGTGGCACATGTCTGTAATTCAAGCTACTTGGGAAGCTGAGGCAGGAGAATTGCTTGAACCCAGGAGGCGGAGGTTACAGTGAGCTGAGATTGCACCACTGCACTCCAGGCAGGGTGACAGAGCAAGACTCTGTATAAAAACAACAAACAAACAAACAACAGAAAAAGATACAATAGAGCTCAAATAATCCTGTCATCTAGTGATATAGTTGTCAGAGTAGTGTGACATACTAACTTTTTTATGTTTAGATATGTTGAGATACATAAACACTTACCATTGTGTTACAATTGCCTATAGTATTCAATACAGTAACATACCGTATAGGTTTGTAGCCTAGGAGCAATAGGCTATACCATACAGCCTATTGCTGTGGTATGTATCCTACTAGGTGTGTAGTTGGCTATACTACCTAGGTTTGTGTAAGTACACTCTATGATGTTGGCACAACAATGAAATCACCTAACGATACATTTCTTAGAACATATTCTTGCTGCTAAGTGACGCATGACTGTATATGACATTCTGGAAAAGATAAAACTATGGAGACTAAAAGCTCAGTGGTTACCAGGGGTTGAGGAGTGGGGATGATGAACACATGGAGCACAGGATTTTTAGGGCAGGAAACTGTTCTGTATGATACGATAATGGTAGATACATGTATTTTAAAATCTGGCCAAACTCATAGAACGTACAACACCAAGAGTGAACCCCAGTGTAAACTATG